GAGTTTCTCTGAGTGGAGGAGATGAGAAGGATGGGATCATTTCCAAGCTCTTTGTGCTCCAGTGTGGTGCCAAGGTCACTTTGGGTGCTTGCCTTCTCCTTTTGGACAGCTTTCCTGGCGCAGGTGAACTTCAGACAGCAAGAAGGGAAGGAGCAGCCTTGTCCCTGTGACAGATGGAAGCACTTAGAGAGCATGATGCAGTTTGGAGGATATTCCTTTTCTTTGCTGATTTCTGAACACAAATTGCTGCTTTTTGGTGAAAAATCAAGAGTTCTGCAAAGTGCAGGTAATGGCATCAGGACAATACCTGGGCTGCCAGGTGGGAGCAAGCCCTCGGATGGCTGAGAAGGTGCTTGATCCCCAGGCCATGTGCAGAGAGGGGCTCCAGTGCTGTGGCGAAAGGAGCCGAGAGCTTCAGGGCTGAGGGACTACGAGGGACGACTGCAGAGCAGTGGTCCTGGGGTTTTGGAGGCTGCTGGGATGGGTGACCACGTCCCTCCATCCCATCCAAGCACGGGGATCTCCGCAGCGGTACATTGGTGACAGGTAAGAGGGGAGCTGGGATGTGGGTTTGTGCGCCCTGGGCTCTTCCATGCATGGAGATGTGCCTGTGCAGCAGCTTGGGGTGTTACCTGTGCCTCAGCAGGAGTATTAAAATATTTGCTATCCAAAATGTACCTGGGGGGGCAGCTCAGCCCTTCTCCGCTCAAAAATGAGGCACAGCCAGCAGCGCTGGGGTTCCTGCAGTGCAACTGCTGCTGGAGGATCATCGCTCTCCCCTGAGTAATGGAAAGTAGTGCTCGAAACCCTTGGGACGTTGTCGGTACGACAGGATATGGAGCAACTTGAGGCAGAAACCGTGAAGCTGTTTATTTTTTTGGTAGGAAGCAATTTCTGGGCAGATTTTGTTCCCAAGTGCTATTGCCTGTGTCTCGTTCTGATGTGGAAGTTGTCTGAATTCTTCACAGCCCAACTATGACAAGTCACTTAAAAATATCACAGTCCTAACCTAAACTGGTCTGAATTTGGGATTTATCTGGCCGGGAGCGTTTGCTGTGTCAATTCCCACCAGGGTCAAAGGTGCAGGATGTGTCAGGTTAGGGAAAAACAACCAAACGAACAGAAAATACCAATCAAACTGGAAAAGTTGGACTGGAGGCTTCCAGATGGCGATCTCCCACCTTCCCGCAGTGCCTGGGTGGTCCGTGGAGAAGGGACACAAAAAGGACAGACAATATGGGCTGTATTTTGAGGCAGGACTGGTCCAGACCAAGGCAAAATAGGTTTTCGAGCCTCTCAATGAAGTTTTTTTCTGGAAAAGTCATGTCCGCCCCTGCAGCTCTGCCTTTATTCTGAATGGGGGTTTTGGCTCCATCTCTGCTGAGGAGAGGGAAGGGAGCTGTGGTGTGACACAGCCAGGGCCACCGGGACCGAGTGACAGTTCTGTCCTTGGAGATATTGTTGTTATTGTTCCACGGAGCTGTCGATTGTGCAGGAAGAGCAGGAAAACTCCTGGGAGCATCCCCTGGCCCTGGTGGGACCCTCAGGCTCTGGTGCCTTCCCAGCATTGCTCTGCCTTTGGTTGCAATTTTTCTTCTCTAACGCCACATTCTGCTTTCTGCCATGAAAATAATTTCCAATTAAAGGCATCCTCAGAGCCTGTCCGGCTGTGAATTAGCCTGGATTTTGGTGGCTGGCTCATGAACTCATCCAAGTCCCGGGGATAACGAGGGAGCAGAGCCTCGAGAGCGATGTATCAGTCAGGGATTTTGCTCATCGCCTTGAACTCACCGCAAGCTGGGATGCAGACGCCCTTTGCTCACCTTCAGAATTTCGCTCTTTTCCTTCATCCCGGAGCTGAGCGAGCAACAGCAGGGCTACGAAACACAGCCCTGCTTCAGCGCTGCCTCCTGCTTCTGCCCTCCAGGGATTTCAGGGCTTGCTGAGACCCTGGGAAGGAGCCGGCCACACACTCCAGCTTCTGGGGAAGGGATTATCTTGACTTTTGTGACTCAGCCCGCCTGTTTCCCTCCATGGAAAAAGAGAGGAGCTGGCACGAATCCTCACTTTGTCACCTGTATTGGCTGCCTAAACGGGCTCTGTTCCCAGTGACCTCCCCCAGGTTGGCAGTGCCAACCACTGTTGCTCTCCCAGGCACCTCGAGGGTGTCCGCATGCTGAGGGCAATGGCAGGGATGTGACAACTGCTGCCTCTCCATCAGCAAAACTGATAGAGATCAAGGTAGGAGCCGGCTGCAGGGCCGGTGAGGAAGAGGAGGGAACAGCAGCTCCGTGGCCCCAAAGCACGGCTGGGGGGGGGTCAGGCCCTGGGTTCTGCTCTCCACTTGGAGTGAAAGGCTTCAAAAGCCCATGTTATGAGGTGATTCAAACACTACCAAGAGAAGTGGGAACTGGTAAAATGAAGGTTACTGATGCTGTGGCCACGTGGCCAGGGAGACATGGGAGCATGTCCTTCAGGGGCTGTTTTTGGGGCGTTGAAACCCCTTTGGTTAGTGCAGCACAGGCTGCCAGCACTCCCCATGGGGCAATGGAGCCGCTGTGGCCACCCCCTCCCTGACTCCATCAACCCTGGTCACAGTCCCCAACAGAGAAGGAAGGGGTCAACTCTGGTCTCTAGGCAACCAGGCCGGGGCCTGTTCCGCAGAGCCTGGGGCCGGACTGGGACCAGAGCCCAGGGACATGTTCCCTGCTGAGGTCTCGTCTCTCCTGTGCTTCCCACTGGAAACAGGGGCTTTTTTTGGGAATTCCCTGGCTGGAGAGGAACTGCAGTGCCCTGTGCTGGGATGAGCAGCAGTGAGGGGGACAGGGGAGCCTGCAGGGCTGGGCGGTCCAGATTTGGGGGTGAGGATTGTGAGGTGAGCCCCAGTGCCCTCCCTGGCTGAATGCAGGCGATATCCCCGGCTCGGCACAGGGGGGGAACACTGGCCTTGCTGGGATTTCGATGGAGACCCAGGTACCGAACAGGGTGGGAGAGCTCCACTCATCTGTTCTTCCCCTACTGATAAACTCGAAAAGGGAGTGTGTTTCACGATGCCCTAACTATGACATCACGATGACATTACAAATGCTCTTCTTTTCTTCATCACGCGCTCCCTCCTGTGCCAAACAGATGAGCGGGTGCCGAGGGACGAGCAGGGGACACACAACCACCCCCTCACCTGGGTTTCATTTCTCCCCTTGGAAAGCAGGCCCGGCCCTGTTGGGGCTTCCTTGCATCCTTCCTGAGGCATCTACAGAGGAACCAGCAGATTTAGCTGGGAAAAATGACGGACTCAAAGGTAAGATCTGAAGCAGGACCCAAAACTGAGCTTCTCCAGTGGTGCTATGGAGGACCTGATTTGGGGATGTCACTTGCAGAAAGAACTGCCAGAGTTGGGTTATGGTGGGGCTGATTCCTCCTGTGCCGGGGATGAGGCCGTGGGCTGAGATTTGGGTGCTGGGGGAGGCAGGGTTGGGAGGTGTGGGTCAGCTGAAGAGATGGGCAGCGCTAACCTCAGCTAGAAATCACCTTCCTGGGGATGTGAGCACTCCCGCTCCGCTCCTGGGCACAGCCAGCAGGGTTCACTCATGTCCTCAGTCGGGTGGGTTTGGTTCTGGCTCCCATGGTCCTCACAGTGGTGTCAAACAGCGGGAGGAGGTGATGCCATTACCCCCCTCTGCTGTCAACCTCTGCTGGTTGGGTCTCCTCAAGTGACCAAACTCTCCCTCTCCGTGGCAGCAGCAAACGGCCGCTCAGACGCAGAAATCTTCGGACTTGTCCGTGAAGGAGAATGAAAATGTGGCCAAAGCTGAGGTCTGGAGGCTGCCGAAGCAGTTTCAGCCAGCAGTGGAGAAGAGGAAATCTTACAAAGGCAGCATCAGGCAGCAAATGCAGGCTCAGGAGTAAGTGCAGCTTCGCTCGGCTGTGTTGCGCTCGGGAAGTTCCTCCAAAATCTGGAGATCCCGGTGCTGAAATGGGGAGGGATAAGGCCCTGCTCCGCTGTTGCAGGTGGGATGTGCTAAGTGTCGTTTGTCACTCTGTTTTTACAGAAGAAAAATTAAGTCACTGGCTCAAGAACACAAAGAGGCGCAGCAGATGCTGAGCCAGATCGTGTCCCTGAGAAGCACGATGCCGGACGACAGGAATTGTGAGGTGCAGCAGTGCCTTCTGCAGACCAAGGATCGGTGCAATTCTCTGATCAGAGACAGAAAAGCCCTCTTAGCTGATCTGGACAAGGAGGTAAGAGCTTCTGGACCATGCCTGGGCTCAGCACGGTGGAGCAGAACAGTCACAGAGTGAAGCCGATGGCTGAAACTCTGCCATGTGAAAGGCATTTCGTTCAGGCCTTGGTATTAAACGCTGCTTCCTGGCCAGAAACACATGGCAATGACACATGGATGACACAGGCTCCCATTCAAGTCAGCTGAGCTGGATAGAAAAGGAAGGTCTGACTCTCAGCCTTGTCCCACCAGTCACACACATGCCTGGGGTCACGCAGCATCCCTCTGCCTTTCCTTTGACTCTTTTTCTTGTGAAAAAGAGGCAAAAACGGAACATGGAGTTGTGCCGCCTGAGTCATTGCAAACAGAGGAGCAGCAACATCCGAGGGGCGTCCCGTCGCTTCTCCTAAGGTTGGCTTGCCCGCTTCTGGCAAGTTTTCCCTTATTCCCAGGGGGAACTGCACAGATCCCTGTCCGCCCAGCACAAAACCACCCCCAAAACCCCATCCTCTTCACCTCTTCCACTCTCCAGTGCTGCTGTGCCTCACTCAACACCTGCTGGGCTTCCCTCTGCAGCCAGCTGCGATTCCTCCGTGACACAAAAAGAAAGCCCTTCCCAGTCACAGTTGATGATTCTGTGTGTGCAGGATGGGATCCTGTGGGATTAAAGCTGCTTCTAGAACTGTGAGCTCATTAATGACACAGTTGCTGTAGTTCAGGTCAACAGAGGGTATTTTTTTTGGCTCCGTGTCCTGACAAGAGTCCAGAACGTAGGGGTGGAGATGACACTTTCTTTTTTAATGATTATGATTATGATTTTATTCTCTGTGTGTGCAGATACTAGAGCTGGAAAAAAAGATTGCATGGCAATACCGGAGAGCAGTGAAGGTGAAGCAAGTGAGAAACAGCAAGCGGCTGCAGAAGCAGATGGAGATGCTGGAGCTGGATCTGTACAACGTAAGTGGACATTTTGCAGACCATCGGAGACCACCTGCAGGAGCTGTGCACAAAATGCTTTTTGGTCAGCACAAAGGGTAACGCTGCAGCTGCGTTTGGTTGACACAAGCTACATGAAGGACCTGGCTTGTTCCCCTGGCCTGACTGCTCCCAGAATATCTCCAAAGCTCCTTCAGGCTTGGTGACCCAAATGCAGCACTTGTGCCATGCCAAGGAGCCTGAAGGTCTGCACCTGTGTAGCGATCAAACCCAGCTGCCCGAAGCCACCTTGCCTTGGACAAAGCCATCTCCAGGTCTCTGTGGTCATCGGTCTGGCCTGCTGTCACCTGCCCTGTCCTGGGGAGAAGCAATTTAAAACCTCTTGAGCTGTGTTTGTCCCAGCCCTGGTCAAGGTCTTTCAGCAGAGACCCGAGCCCCCCAGTCCTGTACCAGCTTCAAACCTTCTCTGTCCCTCTCCCCAGGCCACTGTGCATTTCAATACCATCCTGACCTGGAACAACAACCTCTGGGAGGAGATCGAAAGCCTGCAAGCCCAGAAGGCCATGTTGGACGAATCCTACTTGAAGCTCCACACAAATGTGCATCAGCAGAGGAGGAGGATGAGCACTGCCGTTGAGCAGGCTGAACAAGACTACGAGCAGTGGTAGGAGGCCTTGAGAACCCTTGGTAGCAAACTCAGCACTGACAGGCAATGCCAGCAATGAGTATTGATGTTGAGAGAGACCGATTGCAACTCCAGAGAGAGGATTCAGTGCTCTGCTCTGGAGTCGGGTGCTAAGGGTTAGGTGCCTGGTCAGGGCAGGGAGACTGGGGCTCCAGGGGGATTTGCTCCACCTGCACTCAGCACTGGTGAGGCCGCACCTCAAATGCAGTGCTCAGTTTTGGGCCCCTCACTACAAGAAGGACATTGAGGGGCTGGAGTGTGGCCAGAAAAGGGCAGCGGAGCTGGTGAAGGGTTTGGAGAAGAAGAATTATGAGGAGCAGCTGAGGGAGCTGGGGTTTAGTCTGCAGAAGAGGAGGTTGAGGGGAGACTTTATCGCTCTCTACAACAGCCTGAAAGGATGGGGTAGAGGTGGGTGTTGGTCTCTTCTTCCACGAAACTAGCAAGGGGACAAGAGGAAATGGCCTCAAGTTGCACCAGGGGAGGGTTAGATTGGATCTGAGGAAAAATGTCTGTGCTGAAAGAGTGGTCGAGCACTGGAAGGGGCTGTCCAGGGAGGTGGTGGAGTCCCCATCCCTGAAGGGGTTCAAGAAGCGCCTGGATGTGGCACTCTAGGACATGGTTTAGCGGCCCTGGTGGGGTCGGGTTGACGGTTGGACTTGATGATCTTGGAGGTCTCTTCCAACCGCAGCGATGCTGTGATTCTGTGTTTCTGCCCCAGCTGTTTCTCAGGATGGGGTACCTTGGCCCATATCTCTTTCCTCTGAGTCCTACCTGAACTCATAGTGCGGGATGCAGCAGACCTGGAGCAAAGAGCAACTTGCCCTGGTCAGAGTCAGCCTGGCTGCCTCAGTTTCCCCACCAAGAGCTGTGTTAGCCTTGCTGCTGTTAGCCTTGGGTTGATACGACTGCTCCTGGATGAGAGCCATGCTTGGCACCTGAGGGGCTTTGCTAGGCCAGGCATGGCCAGGGGTACAAATCCTGACGCCTATGTGTGGTCTGACCTGCTGCTCTCTGTGGGCAGGACGGAGCTCCTGGAGGAGTTTTCAGTCGAATATGAGAGGTCCAGCAAAGACACTGTCCAGCACGAGGTGGAGATGCAGAAGTGGGAGCAAGTCCTTGACCAGGAGGCCAAACCGAAAACCTTCAAGCTCACCAAATTGACAGACCGCTCTGAGCTGGAGGAGGAGGCCAAAAAGCTAAAAGGTGAGAGAAACCACGTGCGTCTGGGACCACAAAGCAGGAGCCTGCAGGGTGCCAAAGGGGTGACTTATAGCTCTGCATCCCCAAGGCAGGACCTCTCCCCTGCCTGCAGGGTCCTTCACCCACCCTTCGCCCCACAGTAGAAAAAGATGAACAGCGATAGCCAAGTGAGGCCACCCCAAACCATGTGTCCTGGGGTGCCCTTGGAGGAGAGGGAGGGATGGGGAGGCAGGGAGCTGCCTCTGTGTGCAGCCACGGCTCCTTTTCTCCTCCCAGAGAGGGATCCCACTGTGTCTGCTCCATTTTCATGCAGGCTAGGAGCTCCTGGCTTAATTTCTGAATGTAAAGAAGACACCTTCTGCCTCATCCCCCCACACCCCACAGCACCCTCAGGGGAAGGCTCTGCTAGGGCGGCCCATGGGGACACGCACAGCTCAGGCTCTCCATCTCTCCCTCAGCCCAGAGGCCCAAGAGGAGCCATGGGGAGAGTTTCGAGAGACAGGAGGCGGCCTACAAGCACCTGCAGGAGCTGGCAAAGAACGGGGACGTCGACCAGCTGGTGCGTGATTACATCGACAAGGAGGAGGAGAACTTTGCAAGCCTCCGCAACATCATTGAGCAGAGCAACCAGCTGGAGAAGATGCGGTGGAAGATGAAGGTCCTCCAGGTCTGTTCCAGGCTCTTCACGTCTCCCCTTTCTCTCCTTTTGGCCTGGGGTGGCTTTTTCCTCTCCCACGTGTCCAGCATCACTT